ACAACAGCAAAACAACAGAGAGGAAGCAACCAGGCACAGATTAATACCTCCCAGCAAGAGATTTTCCCAGGCTCAGGCAGGCCTTCAAATGCTAATGAAGGTGATCAGCTTGAAACATTCACACCTAGCTGCAGCAGGGAAGAGCTCCTTGCCCCACCCCAGCCATTCCACAGATATATACACCCATTGTCCTAATTCCAACAGACCTCACTACCTCTGAGGATGCTTGCCATAGATGCAGGCGAAACGTCAGGAGAAATGCCTCTAGAACATGGCTCTATAGCCCGAAAAAACCCACAAGAACCTAATGAGAAAGTGTTGGTCTCTAATATATGTAATTCCTTTATGCTTGTGAGTAAACAGTATTTCTTCTTGTTTCTTTGTCAGTGTTGATGTGGAGAATGTCTGGTTTGCCTACTCTGGAATATGCAACATATCATAGTCCTTCTTTAAGGGTCTCTTTCAAATCTATGATACTATATCTGTGTGTGCGAGAGAGAATCATATCTATCTATTAGGCTTGGGCGGTTTCGTTCGTTAATTTCGTAATTCGTTATTAATTCGTATTTAAATTAGCTTACGATCCGATATTGAGCCATGCAGGAATAGTGTGAGGAGTAATTAAGAATCGAAACAATTTTTCCAATTTTCGTAATTATTTCGTAATTATTTTCGTAATATAATATAATATATATAATACAATATATTATATTATAATAATATAATATACAATAATATAATAATATATAATATTATAATAATAATATAATATAATATATAATATAATATACAATAATATAATATTATAATATAATATATATAATATAATATATTATAATAATATAATATATTATAATAATATAATATATTATAATAATATAATATAATAATATATAATAATATATAATATAATAATATAATAATAATATAATATAATATATAATAATATAATATAATATAGTTGTTGTTTGTTTTATCACACCAACAGTCAACAACAGAGAGAGAGGGAAGCTTCAGAAGTTCCCCCGTCCCATTTAGAGGTTTTTTTAGCATATTGCGCAATCACATCCGCCATTAACGAATCAATTCAAAATTTATGAAATTTCGTAAATTTCGAAATTTTTTTAAAGAAAAATTCGGAATTCTTTTAAAAAACGAAACGCAATGGACCCCCTAAAAACGAAACGAGTTTAGAAACAAATTTTTCTGTTGTTACCCAAGCCTACTATCTATATTTATGACTGGATGGCTCTTTGTCAGGAGGGCTCTGATTACATTTTCTTGCACTGGTGAAGAGAGTTGGACTGGATGGCCTTAAGTATTTTCTGTTGGTCATGGGGGTTCTGTGTGGGAAGTTTGTCCCATTTCTGTCATTTGTTTCAGTGTGCTCTTTAATTGTAGTGAACTATAAATCCCAGTAACTACAAATCCCAAATGTCAAGGTCTATTTCCTCCAAACTCCATCTGTCTTCATATTTGGGCATATGGAATTTTTGTGTCAAGTTTGGTCCAGATCCATCATTGTTTGAGTCCACAGTGCTCTCTGGATGTAGGTGAACTATAATTCCCAAACTCAAGGTCAATGTCCACCAAACCCTTCCAATGTGTTCTATTGGTCATGCAAGTCCTGTATGCCATGTTTGGTTGAATTCCATCATTGGTGGAGTTCAGAATGCTCTTTGATTGTAGGTGAACTATAAATCCCAGTAAGTACAAATCCCAAATGTCAAGGTCTATTTCCTCCAAACTCCATCTGTGTTCATATTTGGGCATATGGAATATTCGTGCCAAGTTTGGTCCAGATCCATCATTGTTTGAGTCCACAGTGCTCTCTGGATGTGGGTGAACTATAATTCCCAAACTTAAGGTCAATGTCCACCAAACCCTTCCAGTGTGTTCTGTTGGTCATGGAAGTCCTGTATGCCATGTTTGGTTGAATTCCATCATTGGTGGCGTTCAGAGTGCTCTTTGATTGTAGGTGAACTATAAATCCCAGCAACTACAACTCCCAAATGACAAAATCAATTTTTTGAGTGAAGGACATACATTGGGTTGTTAGGTGTATTGTGTCCAAAATTGGTGTCAATTGGTCCAGTGGTTTTTTAGTTATGTTAATCCCACAAACGAACATTACATTTTTATGTATATCGATGACATATCATTATACACAATGGGGCTATTCCACAGCATTGCATCATGGCAGTTAAAGTGTCATCGAGAAGCATTCACTTCACAGTATGGATACACTTTCTAAATGCTTGGGAAAGTTACAAGGACTCTGCCCCAAACTACACCCCCTGAATTCATTCTGACATTCCTTGAGCTGCCCTCAGTGCTTTGGGATCTGTAGTTTCACAAGGTCTTGAGCCTTCTCTGCCAAATTATAACCCCCAGATTCAATCTGACACCTTTTGAGCTGCTCCCAGTGCTCTAGCATCTTGGGATCTGTAGTTTAACAGAGTTTTGAGGCTTCTCTGCCAAAGAGGGCTGGTCCTGTCCCAAACGATAACCCTCGGATTCAATCTGACACTCCTTGAGCTGACCTCGGTGCTCTGGGACCCTGGGAGCTGTAGTTTTGCAAGTTTAGATCCTTTTCTGCCCAAGAGAGCTGGTCCTGCCACAAACTATAATTCCAGGATCCATTCCGACACACATTCAGTTGTCCTCAGTGCGCTAGCATCCTGGGATCTGTAGTTTTACAAGGTCTTGGGCCTTCTCTATTAAAGAAGGCTGGTCCCGTCCCAAACTATAACCCTCAGATTCAATCTGACACCCCTTGAGCTTCCCTCAGTGCTCTGGAACCTTGGGAGCTGTAGTTTTACAAGGTCTTGATCCTTTTCTGCCCAGGAGAGCTGGTCCCACTCCAAACTATAACCCTGGGATTCAATCTGATATCCCTTGAGCTGCCCTGAGTGTTCTGGCATCCTGGGATCTGTAGTTTTACAAGGTCTTAAGTTTTTTCTCCCAAGAGGGCTGGTCCTGCCCCAAACTACAACTCCAGGATTCAATCTGACACCCATTGAGCTGCCCTTAGTGCTTTGGAATCTGTAGTTTTACAAGGTCTTGAGCCTTCTCTGCCCCAAGAGAGCTGGTCCCACCTCAAACTATAGCTCCAGGATTCATTCTCACACCCTTTGAGCTGCTCTCAGTGCTCTGGCATCCGGGAAGTTGTAGTTTTACAAGATCTTGAGCCTTCTCTTCCCTCTCATCTCAAATTATAACCCCCAGGTTCAATCTGACACTCTTTAAGCTGTCTTCCATGCTCTGGGACTCTGAGAGCTGTCGTTTTACAAGGTCTTGACCCTTTTCTGCCTAGGAGAGCTGGTCCCACCCCAAACTATAACCCTGGGATTCAATCTGATACCCCTTGAGCTTCCCTCAGTATTCTGGGGTCTGTAGTTTTACAAGGTCTTTAACTTTCTTTGCCTAAGAGAGCAGCTCTCACCCCAAACTACACCAGGATTCAATCGATTGAGGTGCCCTTACTGCTTTGGAATCTGTAGTTTTACAAGGTCTTGAGCCTTCTTTGCCCCAAGAGAGCTGGTCCCACCCCAAACTATAGCTACAGAATTCAATTTGACACTCTTTGAGCTGCCCTCGGTACTCTGTGACCCTGGGAGCTGTAGTTTTGCAAGTTTTGACCATTTTCTACCCAAGAGTGCTGGTCCTGCCCCAAACTGTAATTCCAGGATCCTTTCCGACACACCTTCAGTTGTCCTCTGATACAGACTGAACTGCCCTTAGTGCTCTGGCATCTGTAGTTTTACAAGGCCTTGAGCCTTCTCTGCCCCAAGAGAGCAGGTCCCACGCCAAACTATAACTCCAGGATCCATTCTGACACCCTTTGAGCTGCCCTCAGTGTTCTGGCATCCGGGAAGCTGTAGTTTTACAAGGTCTGGAGCCTTCTCTGCCCCAAAAGAGCTGGTCCCACCCCAACTATAGCTCCAGGATTCATTCTGCCACCATTTGAGCTGACCTCAGTGATCTGGCATCTGGGAAGCTATAGTTTTACAAGGTCTGGAGCCTTCTCTGCCCCAAGAGAGCTGGTCCCACCCTAAACTATAGGTCCAGGATCCATTCCGACACCCTTTGAGCTGCCCTCAGTGCTTGGGCATCCGGGGAGCTGTAGTTTTACAAGATCTTGAGCCTCCTCTGCCCCAAGAGAGCAGGTCCCACCACAACTATAGCTCCAGGATTCATTCTCACACCCTTTGCACTGCCCTTAGTGCTCTGGAAACTGTAGTTTTACGAAGTCTTGAGCTTTCTCTACCCCAAGAGAGCTAGTCCCACCCCAAACTATAGCTCCAGGAGTCATTCTCACACCCTTCGCGCTGCCCTTAGTGCTCTGGGATCTGTAGTTTTACAAGGTCTTGAGCCTTCTTTGCCCCAAGAGAGCTGGTCCCACCCCAAACTATAGCTCCAGGATTCATTCCGCCACCCCTTTGAGCTGCCCTCAGTGCTCTGGCATCTGGGAAGCTGTAGTTTTACAAGGTCTGGAGCCTTCTCTGCCACAAGAGAGCTGGTCCCACCTCAACTATAGCTCCAGGATTCATTCTGCCACCCTTTGAGCTGCCCTCAGTGCTTGGGCATCCGGGGAGCTGTAGCTTTACAAGATCTTGGGCGTCCTCTGCCCCAAGAGAGCAGGTCCCACCACAACTATAGCTCCAGGATTCATTCTGACACTCTTTGAGCTGCCTTCAGTGCTCTGGCATCTGGGAGCTGTAGTTTTACAAGATCTTGAGCCTTCTCTGCCCCAAGAGAGCTGGTCCCACCCCAAATATAACTCCAGGATTCATTCTGACACCCTTTCAGCTGCCTTCAGTGCTCTGACATCCGGGAAGCTGTAGTTTTACAAGGACTGGAGCCTTCTCTTCCCAAGAGAAGCCATGGGAGTCTGAAGTGGGGTCACCCTGCATGAATCCTGCACCCTCTGCCTCTCTAGGGCCCTTCCCCTTAAGCGCCTCTCTTGCTGGAGGTCCTGAAGGGAGGTGGGCACTCACCTCCACCTCCTCTTGCAGTGAGTGGGCCATGGCTGGCCAGGGAGGACCACCGACCCAGGGTGCAGGGCAACCGCTCTGCTGGAGTCTCAGCCTTTGCTTGGAGTCGGGCAGCAGCAAGAGAGGTGGGGCAGGAAACCCTGCCAGACTTGTATCGGTTTCGTTTTCGTTTCCTGGGAGGGATGCCGGAAGGAATGCTCCAGCTTGGCTTCATTGTTTACTATAGGCATGCTTCTGCAACCCAGCACTGCAAGTTTGTGTTTTTCTTTCCCTCCTTCCAATGCCAGTGCTTCCAAAAGAAAAACAAACCTTCCAGCTACATGACATGGAGGAACAAAGGGCTGGGGAGATGCAAAAAGAATGTGGAAAAAGCAGTTTCTTTCACAGAGGCTCCATTTACACTGAACATTTAAGGCAGTTTGGAGCAGACTGAAAGCCAAAACCAAGGTTACAATAACATGTTATAGAACTCCAGTATGCTGATGACAACGTCGTCTATGCACATTCAGAAGAAGACCTACAAGCCACTCTAAACACCTTCGCAGAAGCATACGAGAAGCTCGGTCTGTCATTGAACATCGAGAAAACCAAAGTGCTGTTCCAGCAGACAACAGCCAACCCTTCTCCAATGCCAGCGATACAGCTTAATGGTGTAACATTAGAAAATGTTGATCATTTCCGCTACCTTGGCAGCCACCTCTCCACCAAAGTCAACATCGACACCGAAACACAACACTGCCTGAGCTCTGCGAGAGCAGCATTTTTCCGAATGAAGCAGAGAGTGTTTGAGGACCGGGACATCCGTAGGGATACCAAGGTGCTTGTTTATAGAGCTATTGTCCTCCCAACCCTGCTATATGCCTGTGACGTGGACTGTCTACAGATGTCACATGCAACTCCTGGAACGATTCCATCAGCGCTGCCTCCGGAAAATCCTGCAAATCTCTTGGGAAGACAGGCAGACAAACGTCAGCGTGTTGGAAGAAGCAAAGACCACCAGCATTGAAGCGATGGTCCTCCGCCATCAACTCCGCTGGACTGGCCATGTTGTCCGGATGCCCGACCACCGTCTCCCAAAGCAGTTGCTCTACTCTGAACTCAAGAACGGAAAACGGAATGTTGGTGGGCAGGAAAAGAGATTTAAAGATGGCTCAAAGCGAACCTTAAAAACTGTGGCATAGACACTGAGAACTGGGAAGCCCTGGCCCTTGATTGCTCCAGCTGGAGGTCAGCTGTGACCAGCAGTGCTGCAGAATTCGAGGAGGCACGAGGGGGTGAAAGGGAGAAGCGTGCCAAGAGGAAGGCGCGTCAAGCCAACCCTGACCGAGACCGCCTTCCACCTGGAAACCAATGCCCTCACTGCGGAAGAAGATGCAGAGCAAGAATAGGGCTCCACAGCCACATACGGACCCACAAGAACACTGGAAGACAATCCTCCTCGGAAAACGAGGGATCGCCTAAGTAAGTAAGTAATACAAAAAAGATCCGCATAGTCAAAGCCATGGTATTCCCTGTAGTAACCTACGGATGTGAGAGCTGGACCTTAGGGAAGGCTGAGTGAAGGAAGAGAGATGCTTTTGAGCTGTGGTGTTGGAGGAAAGTTCTGAGAGTGCCTTGGACTGCGAGAAGATCCAACCAGTCCATCCTCCAGGAAATAAAGCCCGACTGCTCATTGGAGGGAAGGATACTAGAGACAAAGCTGAAGTACTTTGGCCACATCATGAGGAGACAGGAAAGCCTAGAGAAGACAATTATGCTGGGGAAAGTGGAAGGTAAAAGGAAGAGGGGCCGACCAAGGGCAAGATGGATGGATGGCATCCTTGAAGTGACTGGACTGACCTTGAAGGAGCTGGGGGTGGTGACGGCTGACAGGGAGCTCTGGCGTGGGCTGGTCCATGAGGTCACGAAGAGTCGGAGACGACTGAACGAATGAACAACAATTCTTGAGCCGCGCTTTATTTCCTGGAGGATGGACTGGTTGGATCTTCTCGCAGTCCAAGGCACTCTCAGAACTTTCCTCCAAAACCATCTATCTTCATTCGCTCAGCCTTCCCTAAGGTCCAGCTCTCACATCCGTAGGTTACTACAGGGAATACCATGGCTTTGACTAGGCGGATCTTTGTTGCCAGTCTGATGTCTCTACTCTTCACTATTTTATCAAGACTGGTCATTGCTCTCCTCCCAAGAAGGAAGCGTCTCCTGATTTCTGGCTGCAGTCTGCGTCTGCAGTAATCTTTGCTCCTAGAAAAACAAAGTCTGTCACACAAGCATGTGGACAATTTCAACAGAAAGGAAGAGACCATGAAAATGAACAAAATCTGGCTACCAGTATTAAAAAACTCTAAAATTACAACAGCAAAACAGCAGAGAGGAAACAACCAGGCACATCTTAACACCTCTCAACAAAAGATTCCCCCAGGCTCAGCCAGGCCTTCAAATGCTAATGAAGGTGGTCAGTTGAAACATTCACACCTAGCTCCAGCAGAGAAGAGCTCTTTGCCCCACCCCAGTCATTCCACAGATATATAAACCCATTTTCCTAATTCCAACAGACCTCACTACCTCTGAGGATGCTTGCCATAGATGCAGGTGAAACGTCAGGAGAAAATGCCTCTAGAACATGGCCATATAGCCCGAAAAAACCCACAAGAACCCAGTGATTCCAGCCATGAAAGCCTTCGACAATACAAAGTCTGTCACTGCCTCCACATTTTCTCCCACTATTTCCTAGTTGTCACTCATTCTTGTTGCCATAATCTTGTTGGTTTTTTTTTAAAATGTTTAGCTGCAACCCGGCTTTTGCGCTTTCTTCTTTCACCTTGATTAGAAGGCTCCTCAGCTCCTCCTCGCTTTCGGCCATCAAAGTGGTGTCATCTGCATATCTAAGGTTGTTCATATTTCTTCCCGCAATTTTCACCCCAGCCTTGCATTCGTCAAGCCCCACACATCGCATGATGTGTTCTGCATACAAGTTGAATAGGTTGGGGGAGAGTATACCACCCTGCCGTACGCCTTTCCCAATCTTGAACCAGTCTGTTCTTCCATGGTCAGTTCTTACTGTTGTTACTTGGTCCTTATACAGATTCCTCAGGAGAGAGATAAGGTGATCTTATCTGTTAGTCTGTTGCAAACATGACTTCAGAGTGACTGGGAAACTTGGGGGTTCTAACTAGCCACCAGCTATCTGGTTTTGTCCGGATGTACTATTATCCTTGAATAGTAACTTCAGCATTTTCTGTAAACATAGGCCTACTGCAAAAACAGGCCAATATGGCTGTAATGACATATGGGCATTGGGAACATCTCTGTAAATTCCCCTTTTAAAACCACATCCCCTCTAATATGGCAGTGTAGATGGGGGCTATGACGTTCAGTTTTCCAGTCAATAGACACTGAAATCCATTCCACACACAGTGCCATAACTTCTAATGTGTTGATCAAGGTTCTGGAGAACAAGCCCTATGAAGAGCGGCTTAAGGAGCTGGGCATGTTTAGCCTGAAGAAGAGAAGGCTGAGAGGAGATACGATAGCCATGTATAAATATGTGAGAGGAAGCCACAGGGAGGAGGGAGCAAGCTTGTTTTCTGCTGCCCTGGAGACTAGGACGCAATGGAACAATGGCTTCAAACTATAAGAAAGGAGATTCCATCTGAACATGAGGAAGAACTTCCTGACTGTGAGAGCCGTTCAGCAGTAGAACTCTCTGCCCCGGAGTGTGGTGGAGGCTCCTTCTTTGGAAGCTTTTAAACAGAGGCTGGATGGCCATCTGTCAGGGGTGCTTTGAATGCAATATTCCTGCTTCTTGGCAGGGGGTTGGACTGGATGTCCCTCTTCCAGCTCTGATTCTATGATCACAGTGCCCATTGCTCTCAACCACCATGACCTTCTTGGCCGAAGCCAGGAGAAGGCTCTCTTCCTAAACAGAGATGGAGAAGAGCAAAATGGCAATTCAGAGGCAAAGGACGCCTTTCGAACTGGGAGGAAAGTCATTCAATGATGGATCTGGATCAAACTTGGCACGAATAGTCAATATGCCCAAATATGAACACAGGTGGAGTTTGGGGGAAACAGACCTTGACATTTGGGAGTTGTAGTCACTGGGTTTCACAGTTCACCTACGATCAAAGAGCATTCTGAACCCCACAAATGACAGAATCGGGACAAATTCTCACACAGAACCCCCATGACCAACAGAAAATACTTAAGGCCACCCAATCCAACTCCCTTCATCAGGACAAGAAAACATAAAGTCCACCTGACAAAGAGCCATCCAGCCATAGATATAGATAGATACAGATAGATAAATATGATTCACACACATAGAGATATAGTATCATGAGGTCACGAATAGTCGGAGACGACTGAACGAATGAACAATAACAACAACATTCAAACATGCAATCCACGAATGTAATCCGGGCCTTTCCAATGATCATTGCACATTGTTCCAAGTCTACCTATTGCACAGGTTCTCTAAAGCTTGGTCACAAAGCCACGTTTTCCCTCTCTTGTGGAAGGTGAGAAGCAAGGTGGCTGATCTAACATCGCTGGGAAGGAAAAGTAGAAGGAAAGGCAATGGAGGAGCTGGTTGTGAGAAGACAATTCCAGAGGGAGCACTTTGGACCTATGTTTCAAAATTGGGCTCCAATTTTGTTGGTTGTTAACATTTTTAACAACCAACAAAACTAGCAGCCAATAGTGAAAGGACCAAGGCAGTGACATCTCCAGCTCATCCCGTTTGGGTATCAGCCAGCACGTCAACGACTTAAATCTAGAAATAGTTTTCTAAGATCTACAGAGACACTCACTGGGACACCTCAGCAAGCGAGAGTCCAAAAGTGGCAGGCTCAAACCCAGAACCTCAACCAATGGCTGATACCAAATGAGAGACTCCCCCCTGGGCACACAGAGGACTGGGTGACCTGGAAGGTGCTGAACAGACTGCACTCTGGCACCACGAGATGCAGAGCCAACTTTCAGAAATGGGGCTACAAAGTGGAGTCCTCAACATGCGAGTGTGGAGAAGAGCAAACCACTGACCACCTGCTGCAGTGCAGCCTGATCCCTGCCACATGTGCCATGGAGGACCTTCTTGCAGCAACACCAGAGGCACTCCAAGTGGCCAGATACTGGTCAAAGAACATTTAACCA